TTGCTGTTCACATAGAAATGATTTTGTGGTGCCAGGGGTGGCCCTAGCCTATACACTGCCTGAGGCGAGAGCGGCGGGGTGCTGGTAGTGCACATTCGATAATGAAGGTGGTATGGTTGTTTGCAGGGCATTGGAGGATGACATGCTTGGTAGGTGGTGGTGGTGTAAGGAGAGTTGTCAGGGGGATGGACCATCTCACCGGCGTCCCATCCAGCTCACTGACGTCACTGGTTGCCAGGAGCTGAGCAGGACTTAGGTTGCTAAGAGCTGGGCCGGGAGATGTGTATGGCCCTTACACCTCTTCCAGACCGGCTGTTAACAACCTGGGACGCACTGGCTGGAAAGGGGGCAGCCATTACACTTCAAACATAGGACCGCCATCACACACACACTCACCATCAGCCTCATTATAGGGATGACCTACTGTGTGGTGCTGCTATATTTCACTGACCTAGAGAAGGACAAACATGCCATTTTGTGTGCCCTCATGGTCTGAAATCTTGTGAGTCTGGCTGACATCTGTGCTGTGACCCTAGAACAGGGGTAGGCAACCTCGGAACCCCAGCTGTTGTGTGACTACAAGTCCCATGAGGCATTGCAAAGCTCTGACAGAAACAGATATGACTCCCAGAGATGTGATGTAGTTTGGCTACAGTTGAGGTGAGGAGGTTGTCTAACCCTGATCTAGTACTGCATTTATGGAAACCTGGAGGAACAATGCTGAGGCTGCTTTTTGCTCCAACCCTCAGGATATCATAGAAAACTAAATACAATTAGGGATGCACCGATAATAGTATCGGTGCCGATGCTGAGTATTTGGGCGAGTACTCGTACTCGCCCAAATGCTCTGATGCCCAGCCCAATACTTCCGGTATCAGAAAGGCGGGCAGCTCATGATGAGGGAGCATGGAGCCGGCTTCCTGGCCAATCAGGAAACCGAGTGACGCATCATTGCACGGCTTCCCCATTGGCCAGAAAGCCGGCTCCATGTTTTCTTGTCGCCTAGTGATGAGAAGCATGGGGACGGCTTCCCTGCTAATCGGGAAGCCGGGTGGCGAACCTTTACACCCCACCCGACTTCACAGATAATCAGGAAGCCAGGTGGCGAGTCATTACACCCAGCTCCTGGCTTCCTTAATGGGACTTTCGCTATCGGCGAGTACAGAAAAAGAAATATCGGTACTCGATACCGAAATACTGGTATCGGTGCATCCCTAAATACAATACATCAGACGTCTTTGTTTTTATGGATGGTTTGGTTTATTTCCCAGGCAGGTCAGTACAGTGGAAATGCACCCTTGAGAGAAGCAGCTTCTCTCCATAAACGTTATACCCTAAAGCTGGCCATACACCTGTAGATTATCTGCAGACTTTCTATGGTTAGATGGAAAAAGTGCAACAGATTCCTCCATCTACACTAAACTGTGTGTATGGGGGAATCTCCCCCTGGGCCAAGCTTCAGTATCTTGTTAGTCGGCCCCGCTGGCTCTCGAAATACCTGAACAATGTGATTGAATGCCGGCATTGATTCCTCCTCCTCCATCCACACATATTAGCGTAGTTGGAGGAATCTGTTGCACTTTTTCCATCTGACCAAAGAAAATCTGCAGATCATCTATAGGTGTATGACCAGCTTTAGCCTTGAACTATGTGCTTTTTTCAGAACTATTAGCTGCAGTGAATGAAAGATGAAATTACTGAACCTCAGTTATCCCGCTGACATTGGAATCCTCGTTGGTTTTGATTCCATCAACAAGTACGGTTGCCTTGTTTCTACTTTGTTATAACAACATATGTCCACTAGGTGTCACCCTTGTCTCCTAAATGCTATAGATCAGGAGTACACAACCTCTGCCATCCAGTTGTTGTGGAACTACAAGTCCCATGAGGCATTGCAAGACTCTGGCAGCACAGACTTCCTGTGCATCATCCGCTTATTCAGCCGGTGATGTGTCGAAAGTGCGAACTTATCGAGTTGTGGGATCGCATGACTTCCGGTTTCCTCAGAACTACGAGGTTTGCGCACAAAACATGTTGTGCACGAGCGCCATCCACGGTGCCCCACTCAATATGGCCGCCGCTTGAGTGGGGCACCTGAGATAAAGAACGCGCTGGCTTACTGTCATCCTACATCATTTTATTACTTTATTGCTGTGGTCTATGTCTATAGGGCAATGCCGTGGATGGCGCTCGTGCACAACATGTTTTGTGTAAAAACCTCGTAGTTGTGAGGAAACCGGAAGTAATGTGGTCCCACAACTCGATAAGTTCGTAGTTTTGATCGATCACCGGCTTTGTTGCAGCTTAGTTAAACTGAATTTAAAAACTAGAGCAATGGAAACTGAAGCGGCCACTTACTTAGGTATCAGACAGAGTTTATCTAGAACATGATAGAAAATGAAATCAAAGCTCATGCATGTGGGGTTGTTTTCCAGCCCCAGGACTATCATTAAAGGAGTGCTATAGTCCCATCACATCCTCTCCTGGTGTAACATCAGCATTGTAATAGGAATACATACTGGAGTTGTTGATGATAATACAATCAAAGCTTACATGAAAAAAAATATCCCTTTTATGTAGTGAGTGCTGCCATCCGTCTGCCCATCACTATTATCATCTTCCTGCATTCCCAGTGTGCTTTGTGTCTCTTTCCCTGCTGCTTGATGTGTTGCAATCTTGGTTTCTCAAGACTACATATCCCATCATGCATTGCTTCCAGCAAGCAGTGATAATGTTACATTGCTCAGACACTGAGTTGTAGTTCAGACAGCAGGCTCTGTGAGAGCGGTGACACCATGAAGTACATATTCACAGGGCTGAGTGAAATGGTGTCAGTGCATTGAGGAAGTACATCCTATGGGCATCTTCAATAAGTAAGTTTACAAACTCCTAGATGGATCTGGTTATTAGGAGTAGGATATAACTTATGGAAATTCAATATAGAAATACAGATTTATTTGTAGTTTTTGTCCAGTGATACCCTTTAAGTCTGTATACCACACTATATTATATATTTTTATTTTATTTTATAAAAAGGCGCCATAGTGGAGGTGTGGGCACACTCTCCTTGTCTACATATGCCTATTACATCGAGCAAGGATGTGCACATGTATACTAAACCATCATGTCCCATAGACACTATAGCAGGGGTAGGCAAACTCTGGCCCTCCAGCTGTGGGTGAAACTACAAATCCCATGAGGCATTGCAAGATTCTCACAGCCACAGGCTTGACTCCCAGAGACAGATGTATCATGGGATTTGTAGTTTCCCCACAGCTGGAGGGTTCGAGTTTGCCTACTCCTGCCATAGTGTCTATGGGACATGATGGTTTAGTATACCCATGCACATCCTTGCTCAATATAATAGGCATATGTAGACAAGGAGAGTGTGCCCACACCTGCACTATGGCACCTTTATATTTAAAACCCCCCACTTATTTGTCTAGTGAACTTCCATTTACATTAATTCTGAGCAAGTCAACCAGCTGTTGTGAGAATGGGGCAAAAACGAATGTTCTTCTATGGGGATAATACCCCCATATGGCCACTAGATGGAGCTGAGGATCATACAAATACTACTTATTTCCTATGATGATCCTTAGCTCAATCTAGTGGCCATATATGCCAATGAGCAACATTCGACCAGAAGAGAAATAACATTAAGAACATTTGATTATTGCCCCATTCAGGAGGCATCATCATAATAATAATAATAAAACAACAGGGTAGAGGTAGGCAACCTGGCCACTCCATCTGTGATGAAACCACAAATCCCATCATGCATCTGCCTCTGGAAGTCATGCCTGTGGCTGTCAGAGTCTTGCAATGCATCATGGGACTTGTAGTTCCCCAACAGCTGAAGGGGCCGAGGATAACCTGAGTGTTATAGGAAGGGTTCTTCTGTGGTAAAATGGTTGGTAAAGGCTGCATTAGAGAATAAAAGGGGGCTGGCATTGCTCTTCTGAAAATTCTAGTTACTTGTCTGTCTTGTACGGGTATGCCGATCAAAGAAAGGTCAGCAGTCCATATGTGCATACTTGCTGCAAGTCATTGACTGAGAGCATTGAAGCGGAAGAGGCTGGAGGACAGCATGGCAAATAGCATTTGCAGAAAGCTCAGCAATGGCAGTCTGAGGGCCGGTGCACATCTATGCAACACCACACCACGCAGCAATCGTGCACGATTCCATGCGCATTGCCGCGCGGTCAGGAGTCGTATAGGTCTGCACCGATCGCACTGTGGGTGCCATTATTTTCCAATGGCACCCCAGTCGTGACGGGCAGGTTGCGCGGTTTCCTGCCGTGCTTCTGAACACGATTGCGGCTAAAACAGGCGCGCGTCGTGTACCGCAGAAAAAAGGTAAACCGCCCGATCTGCCCGTCTCAAATGGGTTGCCATTGCAAAATAATGGCACCCACAGCGCGATCGGTGCACACCTATACGACACCTGACCGCGCATCAATCTGCATGGAATCGTGCACGATTGCCGCGCTGTGGGGTGTCGCATAGGTGTGCACCGGCCCTCAGTGTTTCCCTCATGGTGATGGGTAACTCCGGCCCTCCAGGCCAACCAGTCAGCTTGTTTAGTTAGGCTTAGAAAATGGAAGCTGACTGTTTGCCATTGACAACTGCTCCAGTTTTATTATAAATTCCCATTTTCCCCTCAGAAAGTAATTGGAAAACTACACACAGTGAAAGAGGTTTTACATGATTTAATTATTTGCCATTGACAACTGCTCCAGTTTTGATAAATTCCCCCCATTTTCCCCTCAGGAAGTAATTGGAAAACTACACAGTGAAAGAGGTTTTGCATGATTTATTTATTTTTTGCCGGGGCTGGCCTCTGTGATTTTAAAAACAATGTGATGTGAAACTATCAGAGGTGACAGGTTCTCTTGGAGGCCTAGGGGTCCCTCTTATAGAGCCCCGTCAGAAGCAGCAGTTCTCCGTGCTTCCGCCAGGTGTCACCTCTCTTCAGTCCCCTGAGCTGAAAGAAGAACAGGTCTGACGGCCCGGTGGCGCTGCCTGCTTCTTATACAGTGCGACGCCCGCTCGGGGAAAGGTCATACAAGATGGCGGCGCTGGCTGTGCTGAGGAGCTCAGCTCCCGCCCGGCTTCTATCAGGTGCGTGACGAGTTCCCGCCCCAATCACCCGCCACTGCCCGCGCGCCCACTTCCCGCTCTGGTGGCGCGAGGCGGCTCCCTCTCCTCAGCTCAGTTTCCCGCGCTGTCCTGTGTGTCAGGGTGACTGTGTCAGCTGAGGACGGCATGAGGACATGTCTTCCTCTGTGTGGGGTCCCCTCACACGACACTAGTGGGCGGCCTGCTGCCACAGTCATGATTAAAAGTGACAATACAGTCTTCCTGTGTCACTGTGCAGCATGCAATGATAGAGCTGTAATAATATCACCCAGCTAACCTTACCCTTCCCTCGCCCCATTTATTACACCTGAGTGTGCAGCAAATGTCCTTCACTTCACATGTGGAAGTCACTTGTACATGGCCCTCACAGAGCACTGATTGTAAAGCAGAAAAGCGTTCAGAAGAAAAAAAATAATGATAATAGTTTTATATAAACATTGAATATTTTATATGACAGAGCTGTGTATGTTTTAGGACGGGTGTTGTGGTTGTAGCATTCTATACAATAGATATGTATACAACAGATGCATGTGCCATGTTGCAAAATAGTTTTGACAGGTTAAACATGGCGTGCATGGGAAGAGTGCTCACGGTGCAGGAGAAGAGATGCGGAAAGAGCGCTTACGGTGCATGAGAAGAGACGTGTGAAGAGCGCTCACGGTGCATGAGGAGAGACACGGGAACAGTGCTCACGGGGCATGAGTAGAGACACGGGAACAGTGCTCACGGGGCATGAGAAGAGACACGTGAACAGTGCTCACGGGGCATGAGAAGAGACACGGGAACAGTGCTCACGGGGCATGAAAAGAGACACTGGAACAGCGCTTACGGTGCATGAAAGCTATGGAAGCACTGCTTATATTGCATGAGAGAGACACTGGAACACCACCAACAGTGCATGAGAAGAGACACGGGAACAGCGCTCACGGTGCATGAAAGATATGGAAGCACCGCTTATATTGCATGAGAAGAGACACGGGAACAGTGCTCACGGTGCATGAGAAGAGACACGGGAGCAGCGCTCACGGTGCATGAGAAGAGACACGGGAGCAGCGCTCACGGTGCATGAGAAGAGACACGGGAAGAGCGCTCACGGTGCATGAAAAGAGACACGGGAAGAGCGCTCACGGTGCATGAGAAGAGACACGGGTACAGCGCTCACGGTGCATGAGAAGAGACACGGGAACACTAAAGCTGAACTCTAGGCCTGTATACATGGAATCAGCTCTGTAATCATGAATACATTTGCTGATCCTGCCATTAGGCTCCTTGTACTGCAGGGCCTGGAGTGCATAGGCGTCACTACAAAGGAGAACTCATCTGCATTACCCCATCTGCCTGGAACATCTGATCGGTCCTCAAATGTCACTAAAAATGTCACTACTATCTGACTTTGTGAATGCGGTGGAATGTGAGATCGCACTGACAAAGTCGGATAGAATTGACATTTGAGGACCAATCAAGAGTTTCAGGCAGATTAGGTAATGCAGAGCGTTTCTCCTGAACATAAAATCCATGAACCTAATTAAAATGTCTAATATAATACATACAATATATATATATATATCTTTTTATAAAATGTATGTATATAAATAAAAGGTGGGAAAAGTAATTTTCCGTTTCGGCCTGACAAATTTTGCTGCAGGAGGTGCGTTGCAGTGTCATTCATTTCAATGGATCCCAAATGCACCTCCCGTCCGCAGTGCGATGGCCTGCGTTCCAGTGCAGTATCAAAATGTGATTACCGTTTTATTCTGAAGTAAACTTTATGTCTGTAACGCTGCATTTGTGTATTTTATTTTAAATAAATGACGGTATTATTATTTTTTTATTTTAACTGATTAGGCACTGATATTGATACTGATGTACTATTCTGTTCCGCAGGGACTGTGTGCGCCCACGGCAGGGTCCTGGCACCATGGAGACACCGGCACAGTACCAGACACTTCAGCAACAATAAGATCCTGGTGGAGATGGATGACTCTACTGGTAAGAGAACAAGAAATATGGATCCTGCACTGTGCAGCCTAACCACTTTTATCTCGAGTGCCTTTAAGGCCTCGTTCACACCAGATGCAGTGCGTTCCGGCCCGATTCTGGCCAGAACGCATCGCATTGCGGCCGCCTCACTATGTTGTGGAGCAGGAGGGAGCGTGGCGCTCCAATGAAGTGAATGGCACCGGAGCCACGCCCTCCGGCCGCACGGCAACGCAAGGCACATGCTTGCGGTGCGGTCCGAACAAACTAGTGCTTGCAGCATTTTATTTGGACCGGACAGCAGGCATAATGTGCCTTGCGATCCCGCGCGGGCGATCGCATTGCGGCCGGAGGGTGTGGCTACTGTGCCATTCACTTCAATGGCCCGCCAGGCCCCCTCCTGCCCCACAAAAAAGTGAGCTGTCCGGAATGCGATGCAGTGCGTTCTGAACAGAATCGGAACGCACTGCACATGGTGTGAACTAACCCTAAGTTGACCTGTACCTTTTTAGTCCACCGGATGATGATCACCTCCACATCCAAACATACTGGAGGGTGACCAAAGTGTACCGTCCATAACAGCCAATCAGATCCCTTCTGACATTTTATTAGATTCACCATAGAACTAGAAGCTACTTAGCCTGCCACCTTGGGGCTATGCTCCGCCCCTACCAATAGGAGAGCCTCTGTGGTCACTAACATCATTCTGATTGGCTAGCGGGCACCAGCGGTGTCCCTATCCTATTTTCCACCTGGTGGGGTGGGGTATTTGCT